CAGATTTTAACACTTTGATTGCATTTTCTATTTCTGTTCTGGTCATTGGTGCAGATAAAAAGTGGGTATTGTTACAGTCCATGCTGTGTCAAAAATGCGTCAACATTCTCATTGAACACAACATTTGTTTCCCGACACGTCGGTTTTAACAAGTTCTTAAAATATGTCACCCACTTATCTGCCGTAATTGTGTTATTTTCATTACAATTGCTCAGTACAGATTTTATCTTATGCCAGAACTTCTTACAGTCACCACTTTTAGCTGCACTCTGAATCTCATCAGCAATAACACCGTTAAACATTCTACTTTTATTTCTGCATAAGAGGCGAAAGTGTCTCTTTGCTTCAATGTATAGATTTTCATTTGACAAGTAAAGGTTGTACTGGGAGGCAATGGCGGGGAATATGTTGACTATATCAGGAAATGTTACAACAAACAAATGGATACAAAGCCTCTCTAAAACAAGATGATCAACATAGTAAGATATCTTCAAGATATCTCTACAAGACTATCTGGCAAACGAGATGTATCTAACTCTCCCGCTTCAACACCCTTCAAACAGTCAGTGTTTCCCTTCGACCTGATTTACCCACCTGAACTAGCCATAAGGGAGACAAGTGAGATATCTGTTTCATATACATCTATCTATGCAGTGACCAAGCACTCCCCACATGACTATATAACGAGGTAGGACTTCAGGAGTTCCCAGACTTTAGTATTACAACAGGAGGACAATAATTTTACAGTACTTTAACCCCCCTTTGAGGGTACAGCCACTAACAATCTAAGTTACTCATCTAAACTACCAATAATAAAATACCAATCTATTTACAAACTATTCATCAAAATTTATCTAGCAATTCTATTTCTTTTAAAAATGCAATGATTAAATGATAATAAACACTAAAAAGATCCTTCACTGTTTTGACATTAAAATATTTATCCCTTGTGATGGCAAAATCAATACAGTCAATCAAGACATGCTTGAGTGAGTGAGTGAGTGAGTTATTATTTAACGTCACATCGGCAATATTTCAGCCATATCGTGACGAGAACATTTGAGTGAGTGAGTGAGTGAGTGAGTTAATATTTAACGTCACATCGGCAATATTTCGGCCATATCGTGACGAGAACATTTTACATTGTAATGGAATATGTATATATTATAAAACCTGTCATCGAAGGACAGTAAAGCAACTAGAGTATCACAGATAGATATATGTAAAACTAGTAATTGAATCTAAAACATTTTAACCATAGGGGACAACACAATCTAAAAATGGGCTATAGATCGCTAACAACTGAAAGTAGATCACCATACTAGGAACCATGGGGACTTACATTACTTTTGCTACCTGCATGGACCCTAGTTGGATTTAAACCATCCCTTCAGCAATTGGCGACAGAAGAGAAATCTAGCCATAAATTAAAAGCACACATATTCTGCGATTAAAAACCTGGTACACTTGAATTGACTAAATGTTTGGGGACCTACGTACCCTCTCAGGAGGACAATAATTTTACGCTTCTTCAACCCCCTTTGAGGGTACAGCCACTAACAATCTCAGCAACTAATTCAAACTACCAATAATAAAATATGTATCTATTTACAAATCACTTAACAAATCTAATTCTTTTAAAAATGCAATAATTAAATGAGAACTAACATTATTAAAAAGATCCTTCATAGTGTTTACTTTGAAATAGTTATCCCTTTTGATGGAATATTCAATACAGTCAATCAAGACATGCTTGAGTGAGTGAGTGAGTTATTATTTAACGTCACATCGGCAATATTTCAGCCATATCGTGACGAGAACATTTGAGTGAGTGAGTGAGTGAGTGAGTTATTATTTAATGTCACATCGGCAATATTTCAGCCATATCGTTGACATTGAAATAGAATATATACCTGCCGACGAAGGACAGTAAAAATACTAGATCATCACAGATATGAATATAAAACTAGTGAACAAAGCTAAAACATTCCAATTAAGTGAGTGAGTGAGTTAATATTTAACGTCACATCGGCAATGTTTCAGCCATATCGTGACGAGAACATTTGATATTGAAATGAAATAAATGTATATTAAAAAAAACCTGCCGACGAAGGACAGTAAAACAACTAGAATATCACAGATGTATGTAAAACTAGTAATTCAATCTAAAACGTTATAACTAGAGGGGACAACAATACAGTATAAAAATGGACTATAAATCGCCAATAACTGAAAGTAGATCACCATACTAGGAACCATGGGGACTTACATTACTTTTGCTACCTGCATGGACCCTAGTTGGATTTAAACCATCCCTTCAGCAATTGGCGACAGAAGAGAAATCTAGCCATAAATTAAAAGCACACATATTCTGCGATTAAAAACCTGGTACACTTGAATTGACTAAATGTTTGGGGACCTACGTACCCTCTCAGGAGGACAATAATTTTACGCTTCTTCAACCCCCTTTGAGGGTACAGCCACTAACAATCTCAGCAACTATAATTCAAACTACCAATAATAAAATATGTATCTATTTACAAATCACTTAACAAATCTAATTCTTTTAAAAATGCAATAATTAAATGAGAACTAACATTATTAAAAAGATCCTTCATAGTGTTTACTTTGAAATAGTTATCCCTTTTGATGGAATATTCAATACAGTTAATCAAGACATGCTTGGTGAGTGAGTGAGTTATTATTTAACGTCACATCGGCAATATTTCAGCCATATCGTGACGAGAACATTTGAGTGAGTGAGTGAGTGAGTGAGTGAGTTATTATTTAATGTCACATCGGCAATATTTCAGCCATATCGTTGACATTGAAATAGAATATATACCTGCCGACGAAGGACAGTAAAAATACTAGATCATCACAGATATGAATATAAAACTAGTGAACAAAGCTAAAACATTCCAATTAAGTGAGTGAGTGAGTTATTATTTAACGTCACATCGGCAATATTTCAGCCATATCGTGACGAGAACATTTGACATTGAAATAGAATATATATAGATATTATAAAAACCTGCCGACGATGGAAAGTAAAAATACTAGATAATCACAGATATGAATATAAAACTAGTGAACAAAGCTAAAACATTCCAATTAAAGAAGACAATACAATATAAAAACGGGCTATAGATCGCCAACAACTGAAGATAGATCACCATACTAGGAACCATGGGGACTTACATTACTTTCGCTACCTGCATGGAAGCCCTAGTTGGATTTACATCATCCCTTCAGCCATTGGCGACAGAAGAGAAATCTCGCCATAAATTAAAAGCACACATATTCTACGATTAAAAACGTGGCAAGCCTATATTTGCTTTGAAAGTTTTTGGGAATACGTACCCTCTCAGGAGGACAATAATTTTACGCTACTTCAACCCCCTTTGAGGATACAGCCACTAACAATCTAAGCTGAAAATCTGAATTACCAATTATAAAACCTCATCTAGTGACAAAGCATATATCAAAATTCATTTAACAAGTCTATCTCTTTTGAAAACCCAATGATTAAACGATAATTAACATTACTAAAAAGGTCCTTTACTGTTTTGACATTAAAATATCTATCCCTTATGATGGAGAATTCAACACAGTCAAGCAGGACATGCTTGACCGTGATTCTTTCATCACGAGGGATACAAAACGGAGGATCCTCACCTTTTAACAGATATTCATGAGTATACCTTGTGTGGCCAATGCGACATCGTCGCATGATGACTTCTTCAAATCTGGACTGACAACCCAAGTAGGTGTAACCAATATAGGGTTTTATTTCATGTAATTTATTAATATCTACTTGTGTGTCCCACTTCTTCTGCATTAGATCACGGATGTAAGTTCTAATGCTAGCTTTGTAATCAGAGTATGGAATAAGAAGTGGTGTCACAGATTTGTTGAGTGCTACCTTGATCGGCCATTGTATCCCAGAAATGCCAACGTGGCTGGGTAACCAACAAAAGACGATGTCGCATTGGCCAGTTGCAAGATCAGTATACAATTCAATTATTTCAATTAAAAGTGGATGATTACAAGAAAAAAAATTAATAGCCTGATGGCAAAAAAGAGAATCTGAAAATATGATGTATTGTTTATATTTGGGGTGTTTATTAATGTATTTAAGAGCTGTTAATAAGGCGTTAGCTTCTGCTGTGAAAATAGAGCTGTTATTGGGCAATCGAGAAGATATTGGTTTGGATCTCCAAGATGCTGACACCAGGATACAGGGGTGTTATACTTCAGAGAATATGACGTGAACAGCTGTATTGGCCTACCAATTCAATGCCAAACTGGTTCGAAAATTGGACAAGAAATTGGAGACATACATTATTCAGAGGTCAACATCACCAGATTGGCCCATGAGCCACCGCCTTCTGGCATAGGACTCTAGGCAACATAGTATAATAAAAAAATTATACAATAGAAATCGAAGTTACCAATACCCAATAACAAGTTCAATGTGCAAAAATAGTCACCATGCAGAGGGCTTGGCGTGACCAGCCGATTGATAGAACCGGGCCAGTCCTACCACCCGTCTAGGTGAAGTAAGGGCCAAAGTGGTGTGTTGGGCAAAAGGAACACGGTTCCAGGATCCTATTGCCCCCAACCACCAGAATCCAGTCCTCCACCGACACAGGGTCGCAACCCACGGCGAACGGGTTGGTGGACCAAGTATACCCACGGGTCCACAACGGGGGCTTGAAGAGCGCTAAGCGTTACCCAGCACCCGCCACGAGGAGGTGGCTCTTCACGGGTGCCTCCTCTGTTTTGATTGTTCATTAGAGTGAATGAATGTGTGTGCTTTATAAATCAGAAGAAGTATTTAAAGCGTTTTGATAGCAACTGCTTATCATTAGGCTTATGCAGCGTGTAGCAAATGAACACATTTTGATGTTTTTACAGAGGTAAGAGTCTGGTATTCTTGAATGTGAATTAGGTGATAAACGTACTGTGTTTGGAAATTAGATGAATGTTAGACCGAAGTGATAGTCTCTAAATTTCATTTAAAGCTAACGCACAGCGCAACGGTTTGAAATGGCGGACGAGCCAATGTTTACAAAGGTTGAAATTTGAAGTGACAGTGGAAAATACTTGACTGACTGTCGAATCTGAACCCTGCAGAATCGAAGAATAGATCCTTTTCTGATCGACCTACGACCTGTAACTCATCAAAGACTGTTGATTTTTATGACCGGCGAGTGTCGATCATGATTTCACGTACGTGCCTCCATCCCCGAATGCGACGAAAGTGTGACGGTGTTGCTTTGTGTACATGCCACTAACTTGGAATTCCTTGGAACATTGTTTTCATCATTTGGGACTGGATTGTGGCCAAGCGTTTAAAGTGTACGAACATAGATCACCAGCAGTGACAGCCTTGCGGGAAGCTGACAGAGAGCAGAATTCTGGTGGTTCAATTTTTGACATTTTTTGTATGATTTAGACACGTACTTTTGCCAAGAGTGAGTGAGTGAGTGAGTTATTATTTAACGTCACATCGGCAATATTTCAGCTATATCGTGACGAGAACATTTGATATTGAAATGTAATATGTGTATAATATAAAACACCTGCCAACGAAGGGCAGTAAAACAACTAGAATATCACAATTAGATTTAAAACTAGTGTGGAAGGTTAAAACTAATAGCACTATTAGGACAATACAAGATAAAAACAGGCTATAAATCGCCAACAACTGAAGGTCGATCACCATACTAGGGACCATGGGGACTTACAGTACCTTGGCTACCTGCATGGACCCTAGTTGGATTTACACCATCCCTTCAGCTGCTGGCGATTGTAAGAAATGTTAGCTACAATTAAAATGACAAAAATGCTACGTTTAAAAATCCTGGTAAGTTTAAATTGACTTTCGAAGTTTTGGGACTTACGTACCCTCTCAGGGGGACAATAATTTTACAATACTTCAACCCCCTTGAGAGTACAGCCACTAACAATCTAAGTTACTAATCAAACTACCAATCATTAAAACACAGCTATATACAGAATATATTAATCAAAATTCATTAATGAAATCAATTTCTTTTAAAAAACCAAGAATTAAATTAAGATGAACAGAATTAAAAAGATCCTTAACAGTTTTAACATTGAAATATTTATCCCTTATGATGGAGAATTCAACACAGTCAAGCAGGAGATGCTTGACTGTGACTCTCTCATCACAAGGGATACAAAACGGAGGATCTTCACCATTTAACAAATATTTGTGAGTATACCTTGTATGGCCAATACGACATCGTCGCATGATGACCTCTTCAAATCTGGACTGACAACCCAAGTAAGTGTAACCGATGTTGGGGTTTATTTCATGCAATTTATTAATACCTACTTGGATGTCCCACTTCTTCTGCATCAGATCACGGATGAAAGTTCTAATGCTAGCTTTGTAATCAGAGTATGGAATAAGAAGTGGTGTCACAGATGTGTTAAGTGCTGCCTTAGCAGCAAGATCGGCCATTGTATTCCCAGAAATGCCAACATGGCTGGGTAACCAACAAAAGACGATGTCGCACTGGCCGGTAGCAAGCTCATTATATAATTCAATAATTTCGAATAAAAGTGGATGTTTACAAGAAATATTTTTAATAGCCTGAAGGCAAGAAAGAGAGTCAGAAAAGATGATATATTGTTGATATTTAGGGTGTTTTTTAATATATTTTAAGGCTGTTAATATGGCGTTTGCTTCAGCTGTAAAAATAGAGCTGTTATCTGGTAAACGAAGGGAGATTGTTCTGGATCCAATGACAGTGGCACATGCCACCGCGCCACCATCCTTGGACCCATCTGTAAGCAAGGATTTGTATGTATTATATTTATTTTTTAATTGATTATATTCTTGTTTATATTGTAAGTCATTAGTTTGAGATTTCTTAAACCTTGTCAGAGTGAGGTCAACTTCAGGCCTCACCAATTGCCAAGGAGGAGAAGAAAGAAGACGGGAAGGGGCTATATTTTCCAGCTCAATGCCGGCAGCAGAAACAGAAATGGCTTAATTCTTAAACCAAGAGGCGGAACAAGAGAAGGCTTTTGTTGTACAAATCCTCATAGAGAGGGAGTAAAGACGCAATTAAATGCAGGATTAGACTCGTTAGAATAAAGTTTTGTTATATATTGCAAGGACAATTTTATACGGCGTTGTTTAAGAGATGGCTCATCAGCCTCGACGTAGATACTGTCGACAGGAGAGGTTCTAAAGGACCCAAGACAAAGTCGTAGACCTTGGTGGTGGACAGAATCAAGTAATTTTAGGTTGCTTTTGCAGGCGCCACCATATACGATAGAACCATAATCAAGCTTTGAGCGAACCAATGATCGATATAGGTGGAGGAGGGTAGTTTGATCCCCTCCCCCACTTTGAGTTGGAAACAACTTTCAACAAATCGAGTGCCTTCAGGCATTTAGTTTTTAGGGATTTGATATGCGGAAGAAAAGTTAAATGTGAGTCAAAAATAAGGCCCAAGAACTTGGCCTCCTTTACAACTTTGATTGGCGTGCCATTTAAAGATAGTTCTGGATCCTTATGAGGCTTATATTTTCTACAAAAGTGTAGACAATTGGTTTTTGACTTGGAAAATTTAAAGCCGTTTTCAAGACACCATTTATTTATTTTATTTAAACACAACTGTAGTTGCCGTTCAATGGTGTGCATATTCTTACCGCGACAAGAAATATTAAAATCATCCACAAAAAAGTGATCCATCAATTGAATCATTTAAAACCTTGGATAAACTGTTTATCTTGATGCTAAACAATGTGACAGACAAAATACTGCCTTGTGGTACACCCCTGATCCTGATTATAATGGTCAGACAGGGTTGAACCCACTCGGACTTGAAATTGTCTGTCTTTTTAAAAACTGTGATATAAAAGAGGTAAACGACCCCTCAAACCAGAATCATGTAAATCCTTCAAAATGCCATGCTTCCAGGTGGTATCGTATGCTTTCTCAAGATCAAAGAAAATCGATACAGCATGTTGTTTATTAACTATTGCATTTTTACAAAGGATTCTAAACGTACCAAATGATCAATGGTACTACGATTTTTCCTGAAACCACATTGAATATTTGTTATAAGGTTATTGGTTTCAAGATACCAAGTTAATCTATTATTCACCATACGTTCCATGGTTTTACAGACACAGCTAGTTAGAGATATTGGTCTGTAATTCGACGGATCTGTATGATCCTTGCCAGGTTTTGGAATGGGGACTACAATGGCATTACGCCACGAGGGAGGGAAATTTCCCGACGTCCATATTTTGTCAAATAAATCTAAAAGTGTGATCAGACATGGCTCAGGCCAGTGTTTCAGTAGCTGGTAATGAATGCTGTCATCACCCGCTGCAGTGTCATGAGCTTGCTCAAGAGCTGTATATAGTTCATGTAATGAAAACAGTTCATTATAGTCTTCACCATTATTTGATTCAAAATTAACTTTGGTCTTTTCCTGTTGTTTCTGATATCTCTGAAACTCAGGGACATAATTTGCCGATGAAGAATTTTTGGCAAGAGTTTTGCCAAGTTTATCTGCAATTTGAGACTTGTCAGTAATTAAATTATCACCATCTTTAAGATGGTGAACAGCAGATTTTGATCCTTTGCCTTTAATTCTTTTGAACCATGTTCCATACCTTAGACATTGACGTACGTGAGTTAATTTTGGAGACATAGTTCCTCCAAGATTGCCGTTTATTTTGTTTGAAGGTGCGACGTGCCTTCGCATTGCGCATTTTAAATTGATTTAAGTTGTGGACAGTTGGGTGATGGCGGAAATATTTCTCTGCCTTTTCCTCGCTTTTCTAGCATTTTTACAGTCTGCATTAAACCATGACTTTCGCACATGTGGAGTTGTAGAGGACTTTGGTATACACTCATCAGCTATTACATTTAAAACGTCAGAAAATACCTGAATAGGATCAGCAATATCACTGAAACATTCGGGTCTTAGTTTAGATGTGCATAAAGTTTGAAATAAAGGCCAGTCTGCCTTCGAAAAATTCCATCTTGTAATAGATGGAGAATCAGTTGGATAAGTTTCTGATAGTGTCGTGGGAAAGTGATCACTGCCACAGAGGTCGTTGTGTACTGACCAATCAAATTCATTAAGTAGATTTGAGTCTGAAAGAGACAAATCCAGAGAAGAGTAGGTGCCTGTTGCAGGATGCAGATACGTGCTTGAATCATCATTAAATATGCACATGTCATTATTTGAGATAAAATCTTCCAGGATTTTGCCTTTAGTGTTAGTATTTGTACCACCCCAGAGCGGATTATGGCCATTAAGATCACCCATGATAATGCAGGGTTTCGGATGTTGATCATAGAGAGCTTGAAGATCAGTCAAATGAAGTGTTGAAGAAGGCGGGATGTACAGTGAGCATAATGTAAAGACAACATGAAGTGTAAGTCTCACTGCAATGGCTTGAAGATTAGTTGTAAGTGGGACAGGGCTGTGAATAACATTCTGCTTAACAAGGATTGATGATCCACCAGTGGCTCTATCACCCGGAGGTGAGAAGGAATGATATGCAACGTACTGACGTAGATTAAACGTATCTGTCTGTTTCAGATATGTTTCCTGCAGACAAAATGCTCGTGGTGACAAATCTTGGACTAAAAGCTGCAATTCATTAAAGTTAGTCCTTAACCCTCTACAATTCCACTGTAATATATTTTGGGAATGATTCATGATTTGGGTGCACTTATTGGCGATCTACCACGCCTTGATTTAGAAGGCGATGAACTCCCTGACCGGTGATGGATAAGTTCGGATGTATCCATATCTTCGAGAGACCCATACTTGTTAAAAAGCTGGATGTCATCTTTTGAACCTTTAGCGATTCTATCGCTATGGTTGATTCTATTTAGTTTTTGATTTCCTTTCACAGTTTGCGTAACTTGAGTTCCATGAACAGATTTAGATGGACACGAATCTGATTTGGATTTTGAATGAACGGTTGTACCGGAGGACTTCCCTTTATCTGGTTGAGTCTTTGGACAAGCAGAATTCTTCTGTGAAGAAGGCATAGACTGAGGTTGAGAGGACTGTAGCACTGTAGCTTGTAACACGTCTGCAGTCTGGGTAGCAGATTCTCCTCGTGTCAACAAGTCTTGATTTGGGATGGGTTCAGGAGTAGAAGATTTTATCCATGTCAGCTCTGTTTGACATTCAACTGAGGCTGTGGTCGTGAGTGGTCTTTTAGTAACAGAAGCATAAGAGTTACTTGGGTAAACAGATGGAACAAGTTTCTTAGCTTCAGCATAGCTGATGTTTTGAGAATGTTTTATTTTATTGACTTCCATTTCCCTCTTCCATACCGGGCAATCTTTTGATGAGGAGGAATGCTGTCCTGAACAATTGACACATTTTTTAAAGTTGTTTGTACAATCTTCTGTGACATGAAATTGCTCCCCACAATGAACACAAGTTATAGGGTTTGAGCAAGAATTTATCCCATGACCAAATTTCTGGCATTTAAAACACCTCAATGGATTTGGAATATACAATTCAACTTGAAGATTGCAATACCCGGCTTTGATTGATTTTGGTGCCGTTGGAGAGACAAATGAAAACAAATATGTGTTTGTTGGAATCACTTCTGAATTCTTACGCCTCGTAAAACGTTTCACGTACGTAACACCTTGATCTTTGAGTTCAAGCATGATGTCAAGCTCCGTCATGTCCTCCAAAAGATGATCTCGATCCCTGACAATGCCTTTACTTGAATTCAGTGTACGATGGATTGACACTGAAACAGGGAATCCAGCCAAAGTATCAATTGACTGCAGGTTAGCTGCTTGATGTCGTTTACTACATTCAATGAGCAACGACCCAGATCTCATTCGCTTGATATTTTTAACATCTCCTGCAATACCATACACTGCTTTAGATACAGCAAACGGATTGAGTTTAATTGGCTTTTTGTCTGGAGATTCTATCACTAGAAATCTTGGCCAGTAGTCTACCCGTGTCAATGGTCTATAAGTATCATTTGTGCTTTGATCATTATCAAGCTGACGTTTTTTTCTCAGGGGGGTTTCAGATTCCATGTTAATGTATAAAAGATTCATCAACCCAGCTCCCCACCCACCACGGAGTGTCATAAAAGACGGTGCTATATACAAGTGGACCTCCGACTTGTAGCACCAAGGATACTGGGATGATATACTCAAGCAGAAAGATTAAACAAGTAATCAATCTACCAGATTGGCCCATGAGCCATCGCCTTCTGGGCATAAGACTCTAGGCAATGTAAATAGTACATATTTCAAAATCAAGCGATGATTTATAAACAAAAATGCGTCAAGAAGTCAAAAATGTAATACATAATATAAATTTTGTGCAGATACAATTTAATGCACGGGGCTCGACATGACCAGCCGATTGGTAGAACCGGGCCCATTCTACCACCCGTCTAGGTGAAGTTAGGGTCGAAGTGGTGTATTGGGCAAAGGAACGCTGTTCCTGGAGCCCTTGCCCTCAACCACCAGAATCCCGTCCTCCACCGACACAGGGGCGCAACCCACGGCAAACAGGTTGGTGGACCTAATATCCCCCCGGGTCCACAACGGGGGGTTGAAGGGCGCTTAGCGTGACCCAGCACCCACCACGAGGAGGTGGCCATTCATGGGTGCCACTTTTGCCAAGAATGGCGTTTAGATTACTTGAGGCACCCATGAAGGGCCACCTCCTCGTGGTGGGTGCTGGGTCACGCTAAGCGCCCTTCAACCCCCCGTTGTGGACCCGGGGGATATTAGGTCCACCAACCCGTTTGCCGTGGGTTGCGCCCCTGTGTCGGTGGAGGACGGGATTCTGGTGGTTGAGGGCAAGGGCTCCAGGAACAGTGTTCCTTTGCCCAACACACCACTTCGACCCTTACTTCACCTAGACGGGTGGTAGAATGGGCCCGGTTCTACCAATCGGCTGGTCATGCCGAGCCCTGTGCATGTTACTTGTTTTTGCACAATATTGATATTTTCTAGTGCTTGCCATGGGGTCTTGGTCAAATCACTTATAGACCTACAATGTATATATTGATTCTACATAGATCAAAATGTAATTACCTAGAGTCTTAATGCCCAGAAGGCGATGGCTCATGGGTCAATCTGGTGGATTTATTGATCTTGAATTGATACTTCTGCTGGAGTATATCATCCCAGTATCCTTGGTGCTGCTAGTTGGACACCCACTGGCATATGGCATTGTCTTCCTGATACTCCGTGGTGGGTGGGGAGCTGGGATGATGAACCTTTATTAACTTACCATGATACCTCCAAAACAACTCAAACGTACTTTAGAAGATAGTACATCTTCTGATGATGACACCGTCTCAAAAAACAAATCTGACCATTGGTCTCGATTTTTGGTGATTTCTTCTCCGGATGATGGTCCATTGAAATTGAATCCGTTTGCTCTATCAAAAGCGATTTATGGTATCGCTGGTGATGTTGTGTCAATGAAAAGGATGCGATCTGGCTGTATCTTACTAGAATGTAAATCAGCCTTTCAATCAGCTACACTATTGGCTGTCAAACATCTTGTTTCCGTACCAGTTACTGTGTCACCACACAAAACTCTCAACAGTTCCAAGGGCATTGTCAGAGATAGAGACCGTTGTCTAGCAGACATGTCTGAGGATGAGATAGCTTCTGAACTGAACGACCAGGGTGTAACGTTTGTGAAACGTTTTACAAGCAGGCAGAATGGTCAAACTATTAAGTTGAATACTTATCTGTTTACCTTTTCTGTTCCAGTTCCACCACCATCCATCAAAGCAGGTTACTGTAATATTGGTGTAGACAAGTACATACCAAATCCACTTCGGTGTTACTCATGTCAAAAGTTTGGTCATGGTGCCCAATCATGTACCAATAGCAAGAAATGTCACCGTTGTGGAGAACCTGCGCATGACACTTTAGACTGCCCAAACAGCCCTAAATGTGCTAATTGTTCTGGGGACCACGCTGCTTCATCAAAATCCTGCCCAGTCTGGCAACTACAACATCAAATTGTTAAACTGAAGCATGAAAAGAGTATCTCTTTTGCAGAGGCTAAACGTTTGGTAACATCTGCTAACACTCCAACTGCATCTGTATCATACTCTGCAGTAGTTACCCGTCAGCCTACTAAGACTGTTAAATC